AGAAAAATTTCCACTGTAGTTTAATCCTGTTTTCTCTTCATAAAACCCCATCATAAGGTCAAAGATCAGCAAACTTTTGCTGTAAAAGGCCAAGTAGTAACATTTTAGATTTTATCAGTAATGTGGTCTCTGTAATCAACTCCATGTTTCCTGTAAAACTTTATTTACAAAAATAGATGGCATATTTTGCACATCAAGGTTTATATCAGTGTCATTCATAATACCTAAAAGGTGGGGAAAAACATAGTGCCCATCAGCAAATGAATGGGTAAACAAAGTGTGGTATGTGTAGATAGGAATATTATTCAGCCATGAAAAGTACTGAAAGTTTGAAATGTGCTACAATAGAGGGACCTTGAAAACAAGCTTAGTGAAATAAGCCAGACACAGAAAGCAAATATTGTGTGATTCTGCTTATATGAGGTACCTAGAATAGGGAAATTCATAGTGCAGAAAGTTGACTACAGACAGACAGGTTAGCAAGGGTTGGGCAGGTAGGGAGAGTTATTGTTTAATGGGCACAGAGATTTTATTGGGGATGAAGAAAAAAGTTTTGGGTATAGATCATGGTGATGATGATTACACACATTGTGAATGTATTTAGTGCCACAGCATCATACACTTACAGATGGTTAAGATAAATATTATGTTAATGTATATTTTATCACAGTTTTTTAAAAAATAGGAAGGCATGGAAAATGAAAGAAACAAAAAAAAGATGGCAGGTTGGATTTGGCCCACTGGCTATAGCCAACCCCTGATATAGGTCATAAAATCTTGTCAGCTTCTACTTTAAGCTTATTTCATACATTTTGTGTGTGTGTGTGTGTGTGTGTGTGTGTGTGTGTTCTAATTCTTTTTTTTGTTTGTTTGTTTGAGACAGAGTCTCACTTTGTTGCCTGGACTAGAGTGCCATGGTGCCAGCCTAGCTCACAGCAACCTTAAGACTCCTGGGCTCAAGCAATCCTCCTGGCTCAGCCTCCCGAGTAGCTGGGACTACAGGCATGCGCCACCATGTCCAGCTAATTTCTTTATATTTTTTAGTAGAGACCGGTCTTGCTCTGGTTCAGGATGGTCTCGAACTCCTGAGCTCAAACGATTCTCACGCCTCAGCCTCCCAGAGTGCTAGGATTACAGGCATGAGCCACTGCGCCAGGCCCAATTCTTAATCATATTAGTGATGGTCTTCTGGGTTTTTAATATTCATGAATGTTAGTACTAAGAACTGAACCTCAAGAAGAACTTCCTCATTTGACTTCCTCACTCAAAAGTTCCATGAGGGCAGAGACTTTGTCTTATTTCTGGCTGTTATTCCCAGTGCCCAGAATAGTTCCAAGCATAGGAGGCCCTCCGTGTGTTTTAAACTAATATAAGGAGTAATTTAGTCTCTGTAAACTAATGTGGGCTCTGTAACTAATCAATTCCATGTGCCCTTGTAGCAGGAAAGCAGCCATAAACAAATGAGCATGACTGTTTCCAGTAAAACTTTATTTACAAAAATGAAAGAAACAAAAAAGATGGTAGGCTGGATTTGGAATAAATGATTCCTTTTATGCCATAAGTTTGACCTCATTTCTTTGTCAGCACACAAGAGACATATTCTCTTGCAGTGGACTGAATGTTTGTCATCCCCCCCCATTCATATGTTGAAATCCTAACCCCCAAGCTGATGGTATTAGGGATAGGGCCTTTGGGGGGAGGTAAATAGGTCTGAGGGTGAGCCCTACTGAATAGGATTAATACCCTTATAAAATAGAACTCCAAGTGCTCTCTAGCCCTCTTTCTGCTATGTGAGAATGCAGCGTTGAAGATGGCTGTCTGCAAACTAGGGAATGGGTCCTTACCAGGAAGGAAACCATGCTGGCATCCTGATCTTGAACTTTAACCTCCAAACTGTGAGAAATGTTTGTTGTTTAAGCCACCCAGTCTGTTTTTGTTGTAGCAGCTCATAGACTAAGACAACCCTCATCAGTAGCTTATTCAGAGTAGCAGTGATTCTCAACCTTGCTATCATTCTTGTATTTGAAATATAAAACATCAGTGAAGAAAAATAGCTTCCTTGCCCACCAGTGTATTTCTGTACCACTTCAAAGTTTTGATGCAGTAGTACTTGTGCCTAGGCCAGCAAAATTGGCAGGTGAAGGGGCATCATTAGAAGACAGGCAGCCCCGAAAGAGAAGGAAACAAAATTCGGATACAGTACAGAGTCGCGGCTTTGTAACTTATGATCAGTAACCACATTTCTTGCCCTTTTCTTTAATATCCAGCTCTTTTTTTTAAGGTCCCCTTCATCCAACCATGGATAGATATTCCTCATCTGTAAATGGATAACCTTGAGTGTGTTACCTCCAGTGTTCTTTGTGGTTTCAAACAAGAGGCAGCCAAGCTTAACTGTTAAATATACAGTTAAGCTTAACAGTTAGGGTTAGACTTCGAGTTCACATCTTCCACTTACTAGCTAGTTAACCCTAAGCAAGATACTTAACACATTGACTGCCACACCAGAGAAAAATGTTTTTCCCTGTGTCCACAGTCTTTTATAAAACAAAACAATCCTTTTTAATTTGTTCTTTTTTATTTTCTATGCGTGAGTTATATGCAACGCTATCCATGTTTTTAGAATTAAATTGTCAATATTAATTGTAACAATAAGAATATCAACAAGTAAGACTTTCATGGATGAACTGCAGGGTTTTGCTTCAAGAGGCCCCAGGCTTAAGACTAGCCGGAGTTAAATACAACTCACATGGCAGTCAATGTGTTAAAAACTCCCTCTGCCTTTCTCCTTTGTAAAATGAATGTATATGGTTCCTTGTAATGACTTATCTAGTGTTTTTAGAATGAAGAGTAGTGGAAGTAGGGAGGCATTTAAAGTTTAAAATTGTTGTTTTCTGTGTTTTTTGTTGCTCAGAGTGATCGAATTTGGTAATGCTGCTTGAATCAAATGAATCTGCATTCTGTCTTTATCTTACTCTGATACTCTAGCTTTGCTCTGATGTCAGAGCTGTATGCTAAATAGGTATATGTAGGTTTGGGTAGTGACATCAACTATAGAGGTTTGGTTTGGTCTTTGGTCTTGCTTTTGGACACTGGTAGAAAGATAATTCAAGGTAAGAGTTGAACAAGCCAGTTTTCACTTCTGAAAGATCATATGGTACTGCTGTTGGTGAAACAGACCATTTGATCAAGAAGCAGAAAATTTCAGTTAGCACTGAAAATTTTGAAGTGCTTATTTTCTGCTTTAGGCATCAAAGGTAATAGAAGACTGTCTTTGGCCTCTGGGTACTTCCACTGTAGCTTTAAAGAGGGAAGGCCAACAAAAATTCAAAATGGAGAGCTTTAGAGTCTGTCAGTCTTATCAGGAAATTAGGAGTTCAAAAAAAAGGTAGGAATCTGGCAGCAGTGGCTCACACAGCACTCTGGGAGGCCAAGGTGGGAGGATCCCTCAAGGTCAGGAGTTCAAGACCAGCCCGAGCAAGATCCCATAGAAAGAAATTAGCTGGACTTCTAAATACATATATAGGAAAAATTAGCCAGGCATGATGGTGCATGCCTGTAGTCCCAGCTTACTCAGGAGATTGAGGCAAGAGGATTGTTTAAGCCCAAGAGTTTGAGGTTGCTGTGAGCTAAGCTGACGCCATGGCATTCTAGCCCAGGCAAGAGAGCCAGACTCTGTCTCCAAAAAAAAAGGTAGCAATCTGCGCCTGGAGTGATAAAAATCAACAAACCCTTATAGAATTTGGGAGGGGGGAGGTGAGGATGTTTGAAGCAAAGGATGGGGGGACTTAATGAATACCACCTGTCAGACACTTATGGATTAACCTGTGAGAAAAACTGGCTGGTTGGAATACAGAGGGCATATGTAAAAGAGAAGTAGAAGGTAAGATCAGATTTGTGAAAATGGGACCAGACAGCCTAGAACCCAAAAAAGCCAAGTTGGAGTAATTTATAGCACAGTTGAAGGGCTTGCACCAGGGGTGAAAGTATCTTGGCTGTATTTTCTGTGCCAGTTTATCCTTTTCAGCATCACTAGAGTATAGAACAGCATTGTGAAGAATAAGAACTGCTAAAGTCATTTAGTTTTGAGATAGTAAGAACTAAGTTGATGGCAACTTAGGGGGACAAAGAGAAAAAACTTATTCACTTGATCATTAGGGTTTGGTGTCTGCGATATAGGAGATTAATTATATAGGGTCAGTATGGCTTTTTTTCCAACCTGTTGGATTTGAGATGTTGGTAAGACATACAAGTTAGAGATGCCCTACATTCTTTGAACACTTATTTATTGAGGGCCAGCTACATGCAGACTTTGAACCAAGGCTCTTGGAACACTTGAAATTAAAATTGACCAACCTGTCTATCCTTGTGGAGCTTACAGTCTAGTGGGAGAGGCTAATGAAAATCACAGCTATAATTACAAATTGTAGTTAGTGGAAATTGTGTGAGTAAAGGCCATGAGGTTAGGGTGGGTGGCCCGTGATACCAGTGAAGGACTTGATAGTGACCAATATAGGTGGGGCAAGGAGTGAGGGGAAACCAGAGGAGGAGGCTGCAGAGGTAGGCAAGAGGTTAACTAAGAGGCGAAAGCCGTGAAATCAGATTTGAGTCGGCATTGCTGAGTTGGTAATTACCAGGAAATGCATGTGGTGGATAAAAAGCAGAACTCTGACAACTAGGAGGAGAAGCCAAGAAGCTGAAAATAAGCCACTCAGAGAAGCGGGGTAGAATCAGGGAAGTGCAGTGACTAAGCCACTAACAGTGAACTGCTCCCAAGAGGCTAGGGAAGAATGCTAGTATAAAGGTCTATTGGATTTGGCATTGAAGATTTTGGTGACCTTTGAGCAAAAACAGGATTTCAAGAGATTGAGGACAAAAAGTGGGTGGTTAAGAAATTGACGTAGTGGCTATTAATTACCCATTTAAGAACCTGGTAGTGAAAGCAGTTTTTATAATTTTAAAATGTGTTTATTGAGCTAAGATAATCTCATGATGTGTTTTAGATGAAAAAAAAGATATTGACCATGAGACAGTGGTCGAAGAACAGATCATTGGAGAGAACTCGCCTCCCGATTATTCAGAGTATATGACAGGAAAGAAACTTCCTCCTGGAGGAATACCTGGCATTGACCTCTCAGATCCCAAACAACTGGCGGAATTTGCTAGGTAAGTTATAAGAACTTTTCCTAATTCTTTTAATTATAGACAGTGCTTGAATCTTGCCAGCTGTGCTGTTTTTGCCTCAGTCACAATAGTGGTTTATATTATATTCTTTCTCTAGAGAAACTTGTGAAAATAAAAGCAGTCAGCTTTATTTTTAGTAGTAACTATGCTATTAATGTGAGTGGCAGCATTTGAGATCATTGTAGACAATAAGATGAGGCAAATACTCTTTAATTCCATAATTGGCATTGCTTGTGAGTAAATAAAATTGCACATAATTTGTTTCGAAATGGATATTCTTACACTACCTCATGGCCTCTTTGTATACATTTTAAACTTGGATGCGTTGTATTAGACTAAGCTGTGGGAGACCTGGGTCTGTACAAGATTTGCCCAGCTGACCCCTGGAACGGATATCATAGTTCATATTTTGGAATGTCATCAGCTAAGCCTCCAGCATTTTGTTAAGTTGGCATGATAAGAAGAGGTCAGGTATTTATGGCTGGGACTCCTGTGCCTGTCCAAGGTGAGCAGTCAAGAAGACCTGAACCCACTGAATGTTTGTTTGTTTTGCAACGAAATGAACTAATACGATCTGGAGCAAAAGACCTAATGCCTTTCCATTCCTGGGATTGGATGGAAACTAGACTAACCCAGGAAATTTAGGCAAGGGCAGGAACAGGAAGAAAGAAATATTTGTGATCTTGCACATTCTTAGAACAGAGTAGGACACATTTTTTTCTTTCTCGAGAGGTTACTGGTAGAGGGAAAGAGCTGGAATTCCTGGCATGTCTGTCTTCCCTGCCAGGCCTCTCCTGGTCCTACTGAAAACAAGGTGGGCAACTGCTGCCACCGGGAGCCTGTTTCCCAACTTGTGCAGTGGGCATAACAATCCCACTGTGACTTGATGAAGAGGGTTCTTATCCTTCTTTCCAATGAAACTACAGCTTTAGAGAATATATGCGTTGATTTATTTCTAATTTATCATGGCTTAACAAAGTTAAAGCTCTATCCTTTTCTTGATGACATTCCAGCTTTTATTGCCATTCATGTTTCAAATACAATTATGTGAATCGAATATTAACTGCCCTTCTCCCTCCAAAAAATATAAATAAAAGTTGAATCTGTAGGGCACTTAGTCAGCAGTGAGGTTAGAGTTTTTGGACAGATAGGGCCAAATACTGTGCCAGTGTTCAATGTTGTCATACATTCTTAAAACTAGGCAGCTATTCCTTATGTTCTCAGGATTTGGAGATGGAAGAAAGAAATTAAGGAAAGCTTTATGGAGGGGTGGCATTTGATTTGGGCCTGAAGAGCATAGAGTTTTGATAGGTAGAGATGGAGGGGTTTCCTGGGAATTAGGATGTTTAGAGGGAAATGATTAGGTAATTTGGAATCAGATCATTAAGGTCCACGAATCCTGGGGCCAACCCATGTGGACTTTTTAGTGTGCAGTGGGCAGGTGCTAACAGTTTTTGAGCAGTAGAGAAAGGGGGCTTTAGGCCAGGTACAGTGGCTCACACTTGTAATCCTAGCACTCTGGGAGGCTGAGGCGGGCGGATATAAGAGAATTACTTTGCAGCAGTCTATCAGACTGGATTGGTGCAGGTACAACCAGGAAGTGGGAGAAGTCAGTTGAATAAGAACTAATGAAAGCCTGAGCCAGAATTGTGGTAGTTGGTTAGTAAAAGAATAAATGTGATAGAAATTACAGGAGACAATGGAAAAAATTTAGAAATGGGTTGACTATGTTTAGAAGGGTGTTGGGGGACAAAAAGGGCAGAATCAAAATTGACAAAAGCTTCACTCAGGTGACAGGGAAAATGAGGAGAAAGCTCTGGTTTAGGGGTCAGAGCAGTCAGTGTTTGGTTAGAGATGCTAATTAATCATCCATATTGGACTTGAGGTGTTTTTAGGAAGTAAGTTAGGGCCAGAGTCATCTGATATGGAAGGAGGGGGTAAAGGCATGCATATGTTAAGTAATCTCTTTGAGGGGAGAGATTTTGGAAGGAAAAGACCCCAGCATAAAATCTTGGGGAAACCCTTGTATTGCAGGGTAAGAGGAACCAGTGACAGAGTAGGAGCATCATTGAGACAAGTAGGAGGAGACTTAGGGAGCTACAGCATCACAGCAGTCAGTGAAGAAGTTTCCAGAAGGTACAGGAGAGGGATGAGTAAAATCTCTTCAGATTATATATTGTGAAGTAATTTATGTGGAGGGGGGCAGAGAGAGGACTGGAGTGAAGTTTAGAAGAGAGGGGAAGGGGGGATAGTTAAGCAGTAGAAGTAGTTAGGTGTCAGTGACCTTGGCATTGTTCACACTCCCTGGAGAATTGGAGCAGCTGATAGGAGACCTTGTCCCCAGTCCTCTGAACAGAAAATCTAGGGGCATGTGTCAGAGCCTGAAGGCTTCCAGTGAGATAGGCCATCTACGAAAGAGTGATAGACTTGAATGAGACTTTTCTGCAACAGCAACAGGTAATTAGGAGACAATAAAACATTGAGAGGAAAAATTGTTGTAAATATAGAATTCTTTTTAATAATTTTTTTGTTTTGAAAAATCTTTTTCTTTAAAATCCTTATTTATCTTATTTATATATTTTTTTGGATTTTTAAGAACAGAATTCTTGATCCAGCAAAACTGTCAGTCAAAATACAAGAGCAAGAAATGACAATTTTAGAGACCTATGGATTCATTTTAGGTTGCACCCTTTCTGAGGTTATTTGAGGGTATACTACAACAAAATGAAGATGGACATCAGAAGAAAGACATCTAGTGAAAAACAACCAAGGGGACAGCTGTGCAGCAGGCTGGAAAATACATTCAACTTAGAATAGTCAAGTCAGCCAGCTGTAAGAATTTCTTTAAGAATAGTCAGTGTTGGCCCACGCGGTGGCTCACGCCTGTAATCCTAGCACTCTGGGAGGCCGAGGCGGGCGGATTGCTCGACATCAGGAGTTCAAAACCAGCCTGAGCAAGAGCGAGACCCTGTCTCTACTATAAATAGAAAGAAATTAATTAGCCAACATATATATATATAAATAAAAATTAGCCGGGCATGGTGGTGCATACCTGTAGTTGCAGCTACTCGGGAGGCTGAGGCAGAAGGATTGCTTGAGCCCAGGAGTTTGAGGTTGCTGTGAGCTAGGCTGACACCAGGGCACTCACTCTACTCTAGCCTGGGCAACAAAGCGAGACTCTGTCTCAAAAAAAAGGAATAGTCAGTGTCATGCAGTAGTGGATAGAATGAGTAAGAAGTGTGATAGTGTGGAAAAGGCAACCAGGAACTTTCCTGAAAAGGGGCTAGGGCTAAGAAAGCCATGGCCTAAAAATTGGGCATAATTTTGACAATATTTAAAGAGAGAGGACTCACATGACCAGAATCTAGCAAGATTCTCTCCTTTGGACTTGCAGAGCAAGAAGTATAATCCTAGCATACTGTTTAACCCTACAGTAAGCAATCTTTATATACTCACAATATGAATATAAATGGTATTTATTTTCTTCTATAATCTGCCTGTTAAGGGTTTTATGTATAGAGTAGAATGAAATCTTGCTCTCTTGACAATGTGTAAAAAGTAAAGATGCAGAGTTTGGGCCCTGTGAGGTGGATTGAGGGTCAGGTTCATTCTCATTCTCATTCTACATAGTATCTCTTGAAGATCATGTTCATCTAAATAAATCTCAATAATTGGAGGTGGTGGTAGCAAATATTTGATCTTGGCCGGGTGCGGTGGTTCACGCCTGTAATCCTAGCACTCTGGGAAGCCGTGGCGGGTGGATTGCTTAAGGTCAGGAGTTTGAAACCAGCCTGAGCGAGAGACCCTGTCTCTACTAAAAATAGAAAGAAACTAATTGACCAACTAAAAATATATAGAAAAAATTAGCCGGGCATGGTGGCGCATGCCTATAGTCCCAGCTACTTGGGAGGCTGAGGCAGTAGGATCGCTTGACCCTAGGAGATTGAGGTTGCTGTGAGCTAAGCTGACACCATGGCACTCACTCTAGCCTGAGCAACAAAGTGAGACTCCGTCCCCCCCCCCAAAAGAAAGAGAAATATTTGATCTGGGTTGCCGTATTTTGTTAAGTCTTCACATTTTGAGAATGTGTAACAGTTGAATAGGATTTTCTGGAGGCCCCAGAATTGGTGACTTGGACTCTGAAGACTGAAGATGAAGAGGCACCAAGAGTTTCAAACTGCTGAGGACCAGACCACATCTTCTTCACTGATTAAGATCCACAAAACTTGCTCTGATAGCTTCCATTCCTCATCCCCTGCAACCCTGACTCACAGAGTGGCATTGGAGGCCCTGAGCTGTGGGGTTAGGGTAGAGTGTTAGCTGTTTTTCCCTCTTCTCCATGTACTGGAGTGATGGCATGCTGAACTGGACTTGAAACTGACAAAAGAATGTTTAAGGCTCCTGCCACACTCACCTAGACTGCTTAGAAAATCAGTTGCAGGTACATTGTGGACAAAGTATAGGAAGTAATGACTTTTATTTGAAAGTCATGGCATTGGGGAGATGGCACTATGAGTGACTTTGGATATGTCTGTTCAGTAAATACTTTAAAAAGTGGTCAGTGAGTGGGACTTGAGAAGTTCCATTTCCCAGTTAAATTGACAACCTTTGTGCCTGTTTCATTAACTAAAGTTAGGCCTTTGAAAACCTTTGGTCTAGACCTTTGAAACCTTTGGTCTATTATAAATAAATAGTGGTTAGGCCAATCCCAAATTAGTTTTTTGTTGTTGACTCTTTCACAGGATTAAAGATGAAATAGGATAATGAAGATGAAAATACCTTAAAACACTTCAATATCATCCCATGAATATATGCTGTCTATTTAAGAGATAGTTGATTAAACAAACTTTGTTTCATTTGGCTAAGGCCGTATCTTTACATAAAGAAGAGAGGTGGATCGTGCTTGCAAATGGTAGCTGTATTACACAGGAACTTCTCCACTGGCACAGGTCAAAATTGGTGGTTCTGGTCTGGAACTCAACTTAATCTTATTTTGTAAGGAAAGAGGCTTATTTTTATTAAAGAATCACCACTCCAAAAATGTTTGTCTGTACTCCTGGGACATTTGGAGGTTTCAAGTTAGTTGGAACTTATGGTTTACACAATGCCCTGCTCAAATTGTGACCGAAGTTCCTGCAAATTTGGGTTCTGGGCTCTATCTTCATAATGTTTCTCCCATATATACCAGAATAAGATATTACAAAAACAGCAGAGGGAGCATATTCTTCACCTTTATTTGAATAGGAAACTTCTGTGGGTTGGGGGCCAGGCTCCACCATACACATGTAATACATTCAGGGGTGCATTTTTACTAGCGCCATTCTTTCTCCAGTCCCTCAGTCCTTTAGTCAGAAGAGTAGTTTGGAGCATCAGAACCATCTGGGGTGTTAAGCACAACTGGCATAATATTTTTAAAGAATGAACGCATTTTTAGCCCCAACCTTAACCCTAACACCCTAAACCCTAATGCTAACTCTCACCTTCACCCTTACCCTAATTCCAAACCTAACCAAACCAAACCTAATACCCTAACCCTAGCCCTACACCAAGCCCTAAAAAAATAAACTTTTTTAGTGAGGCCCATTTAACATGTAGTCAGTGGTAATGATAGCTGTCATTTCCCATGCTTAACATATATCATCTCTTTTAATCCTTGTAGCTCTAAAGTAAGTAGCCTTTTTGCAGATAAGAAACCAAGGCTGAGAAGTTTAAGTAGTTTGCTCAAGGTCATGCAGCTAGTAGAAGTCAGCTCCAAGTCATACATCCCATACTGTCTTGTTCATAATGTCTATGCTGTTGTCATCATTGTCTCTGGATTCAAAAAGATCTTTGTAAAGTATCACAGTCAGTGAATGGGAAACTCAAATCTTAGTTACCCCTGAATAGTTTGGGAGGGCTGAGAAGATATTCTTAGTAGTGGTATATGATTTTAGTCTTTACTGACAAAACAAAATGCTTTTAGCCTAAGCGAACTTTTTGAAAATTGACCTTTTCATTGTTTACATTTGATTAAAATGTAAAATGTACCAATATATATAGCCACATTTGCCACACAGTTGTGAAGGAGGAGGATATTTCTAAAGAGTACCACACATTTTGAAAATGCCATTTTAAGAAAAATATAACCACTTACAATAACAAAATTAAGAGTTGGATAAATGGTACATGAGACTATTCTCTACCTTTGTACATATTTGAAATTTTCTGTGATAAATGTCTTCTAAAAAATTAAGTTCCTTTGGGAATAAATCTAACAAAATGTATCACGGGGGGAGAATACTCCTTAATTCAGGTTTATTAAGGTACAATTTTACATACAGTAAAATTCACCTCATTTAGGTATGTACCATTCTATGAATTCGGACAAACACAATCACATAGCTGTCTCCACCGTAGGCACATAGAATGTTTCAGTAGAATCATCAAAGAATAAAATGTTTTAATTCAAAAGTTTCAAACTTAGTTCTTAGTGTACATTTTAAAATTAGTATTTGAATGGAATAGAACCTTTCATATGAATCATTGTTGTTTTTCAAGCTGATCTAACCTCCAGGTGGTGCAGTGGCACCAAACTTTTGTCCTGCCTAGGTTTGTGGACTTAGGCCAAAACTCTAGTCAAGTCCAAAAGAGCTTTTAAAAACAGAAAAAAAAAGCACTCTGGGGCCGGGTGTGGTGGCTCATGCCTGTAATCCTAGCACTCTGGGAGGCTGAGGCGGGAGAATTGCTTGAGCTCAGGAGTTCAAGACCAGCCTGAGCAAGAGTGAGACCCCGTCTCTACTAAAAATAGAAAAATTAGCTGGGCATGGTAGTGCATGCCTGTAGTCCTAGCTACCCAGGAGGCTGAGGCAGTAAGATTGCTTGAGCCCAGGAGTTTGAGGTTGCTTTGAGCTAGGCTGATGCCATGGCACTCTAGCCTGGGCAACAGTGAGACTCTTGTCTCAAAAAAAAAAGCATTCTAATACTTATTGGTATTCAGGATAACAAAAGCTAATCAGAGCCCTGTTACACAAAAGACACTTAAAAAAATACTCACTTAATGTAGTAATGGAGATTTGAGTATCCCTCATCGGAAATGCTCGGTAGTATTTCAGATTTGGGAATTTTGCATGTGCATAATGAGATATGAAAGTGGGACTGAACTCTAAACGCGAGATTCAAAGAATTTTGTGCATGAAACAAAAGTTTTGACTGTCTTTTGAGTGCGACCTGTCCATGAAGTCACAAGTGGAATTTTCCACTTGTGGTGTCATGCCAATGCTCGAATAGTTTCAGATTTTGCATTTTTGGAGCAGGGATTTTCAATCCATAATCCATTTACATGAAAGAAAGAATGAGTATTCACAAGGTTAGAGTAAGGGAGGATACCAGACTAAAAATGTTCTCGTAGAATTTAAAGCAGAAATTGTCAAGTACAGTCTTGAACACAACTCCATGGAGATGAGTAATAGCTACCAAGTACATTGTTCCTCCTATACTCTTCTCTTCCAGGGCATGGAAAGTTTAACCAGGTGATTTCACAAGTTCAGGTTTTATAAATTAATATGGATCAGGTAATCCTTTTCCCAGATCACAGGATACAGGAAAGGAAGACATTGTTTGGGGCTTTGTTAAATCTCCCACCCCCCACTGCTAAAAGTCAATGCTATAATAAAAATTAAATAATATACAGAGTATGTTGTGTTTCCTTCAGGATACATATTATGCTTATGTGTAATATAAATCTTCATTTAAAAGGACTATTCTGTACCCTTCTTTAAAATGATACATATTTTTTAAGAGACAGGCGCTCACTGTGTTGCCTAGGCTGTAGTGCCCTGGCTATTCACAAGTACAATCATGGCACACAATAGCCTCAAACTCCTGGGCTAAAGCAATCTTCCTGCCTTGCCTTCTGGGATAGCTGGGACTACTACAGCCATGTGCCACCATGCCCAGCTAAAATGATAATATCTTTTTTGTTTGTTTTTGTTTTTGTTTGTTTTGAGACAGAGGATCGCTCTATTGCCTGGGCTAGAGTGCCGTGGCATTAGCCTAGCTCACAGCAACCTCAAACTCCTGGGCTCAAGTGATCCTCCTGCCTCAGCCTCTGGAGTAGCTGGGATTACAGGCATTCACCACCACACCCAGCTAATTTTTTCTAATTTTAGTCATCCAGCTCATTTTTTCTATTTTTAGTAGAGATGGGGTCTCACTCTTGCTCAGGCTGGTCTTGAACTCCTGAGCTCAAGCAGTTCTCCCACCTCAGCCTCCCAGAGTGCTAGGATTACAGGTGTGAGCCACCACGCCTGGCCTAAAAGTGGTAAAGCTTAAATGATCATTTGTATCAGTGCGAAATGGATCCATGTTGGACCCACTTTCGAGACAGAGTCTCACTCTGTTGCCCAGGCTAGAGTGCCATGGGATCAGCCTTGCTCATGGCAACCTCAAACTCCTGGGCTCAAGCCATCCTTCTGCCTCAGCCTCTACAGGCATGCACCTTCATGCCTGGCTAATTTTTTTTTCCATATATTTTAGTTTTCTGGCTAATTTCTATTTTTAATAGAGACGAGGTCTTGCTCTTGCACAGGCTGGTCTTGAACTTCTGAGCTCATACAATCCACCCGCCTCAGCCTCCCCGAGTGCTAGGATTATAGGCGTGAGCCACCATGCCCGGCCCCACTTTGTGTTTTTTTTTTTTTTTAAGTGGGTGTGTAGAGGTGTGTATTTTTAAGATACTCCCATGTTTACTGTTCCTCTTTAAGGCACCTATAGCATCATAGCATCTGCTTTTGGATACCTTGCCCTACCTCCTACTAGATTTGTCTGTAGTTATCTGGGCTGTTGATCTTTTAAAGAGTTTGGAGGAAAGAGGTAGTATTTGAATCACACAGATCACAGTGCCATTGCAGGCTGCACCAGCTTGTAGCTGTGAGACTGTAGGCAGCAACTCACCCTTTCTGAGCTTCATCACTCTTATCTAAAAAGTGGGAAGGCTACGTCACAGTCATTGGCACTCAGTGTCAGTTGTCTCATCCTTTCTCCTTATGGAAGCATATTATAATTTTAGTTTTGTTACCTATAAGGAAAGCATGTTAGGGACTATATGATTTATACCAGTTAAGTCTACCCACTCCTACAAATCTGTCTGTCTCTCTCTTTTTTCTTTTAATAAGAATGAAGCCAAGAAAAATTAAAGAAGACGATGCTCCAAGAACAATAGCTTGCCCTCATAAAGTAAGTAATGCTAGGGGAAAAGTGTTCATTAAACTGTCAGTGAAGCTTTAGAGAGTTTATAAGAAATTTGCACAAATCAACATTAAGATATTGGGTTGTATCTCACTCTTAGACATTTATGGGATCATAGGCTTGTTATTGAATTTGGAAATTATTTTAAATGTTGCTAAAATAAGCTAAATAAAGACTTCACAATTCTTTTCTTTTTATAAATTTGACCCTGTTAATTACTTAGAGTGGTACTTAACTGTTTTCAAACATAGCTAGTCTTTTAAATAAAAAGGAAACCTGAAAAGCACTTAGAAGGTGTTGGAGTCTACTTTCAGACTTAACTTGGATGTAAAACTAACAGAATAACAAAAGTATCACATAGGCACAGAGAAACAAAGGGGGAGGAATTATGAATGGAATAAGTAATTTTTAAAAATTAAAAATTGGGGAAGGATAAATTTAGCTCATGATATTGCCCCCATAGCGTCTATGCATTCACAACTTTTTTGTATTGTTTTTTAATGCTCTTTATGTGGAGATTTTAAAATGTAATGATTTTCACTGGGGCCAAAGATAAGCACTTGAAAACAGTCAAGCCTTAAGTGCCTGTCATCTCTCTAGCTTTTCTGTATGCTTTCCAAATTTAAGTTTTCTTTTACTTATAATTGACACATAATAACTATACATATTTATGGGGTACAGTGATGTTTTAATGCATGTATATATCGTATACCAATTAAATATTTTTAAATTCCATTTTCTAAATGGAAACTCGGTCTAGAGGTCAAGGTGAAAAAACTGTGGCTCCCCTCGTGCCTGTGAAGCTGTCCAGTGGTGACTTGTGCTGTCCTTCTGTCATGCTGTCTTATCATTTCCCCCACTCACCCCATTATTGGACAACAACTGCAGAAGAAATTGTTAAGGATATGCTTCTCTCGAGCACCACACATCCATCTGCCCCCTCCCCTGCACTGGTATCAGTTTGCCTGCTTCCTTTTCTAGTGTCTCACAAAATAAATTTCTTCTGTAGTTGCCATTCCTTGGAGACCCTCTTGCTTCTTTCTCTGTCAAGAAGGGGAAAGAGGCAAAGAGAGAAGAGGGAACAGTAGGCGATGGAGAATGACAGCCCATTGTTGCAGCACAGAATATGGGGCCCACCAAAGGTAGTGGTGGACTACCGTCATTTTAACTCCATTTATTTATCAGTGCTTCTGTTACTTCATTTTGGGGGACATAGTTGGGTGAGGCGGCTGTGGTGTAGCTGGAAGCCAGGGTGTTGGGTTCTACTCCCAGTTTGGCTACTACTAGTAGTGTGACCTTGGGCAAGTCTACTTAAAGACATCTCTAAGCCTCAGTTTCCTCATCTGTGAAACAGGGTTTGCATTAAATGATAAGTACTTTTCCGCTGTCTGTTTTTGTCTTAGATTATTGAATGTTCTATTGTAATATGAAGTCAAATTAAAATGGGGGATGGGGAGGTTGTTTTGTTTAAATCTGTCAGTAAAGGCTATTAAGTGGTTGAATCCTTTCTTACAGTTTGCAATGTGAACCACTAAGCTTCTTTCTCTGTTTTAAGGGCTGCACAAAGATGTTCAGGGATAACTCTGCCATGAGAAAACATCTGCACACCCACGGTCCCAGAGTCCACGTCTGTGCAGAATGTGGCAAAGCTTTTGTTGAGAGCTCAAAACTAAAACGGCACCAACTGGTTCATACTGGAGAGAAGCCTTTTCAGGTAGAGCCAGTTCCTTCTCCCCTCCGTACTGCCTTGCCCTTCTGAACACGGCAGGCGAGGGCAGTGTGGTGACGGCACAGGAGGTGCCGGCCCAGAGTCAGGGTCTTATTATTGCTCCTTAATGAGAAACAGAAATGGTCTCCTGCGGAGCCACAGGAACAGTTGCCCAGCTTCTCGACTTCCCCATGTCTGGTCTATGGTATCGAAGACAGAATGTATCAGTGTTTGTGGAGCGTGCTTTATGGCAGGAGAAAAACAGGATTATTCAGGAGTTAACCTAAAACTAAATTTCTAGTGTATTCACTGTAGGATCGAAGTAATTTATTTTTGATGTTTAATAGTATATTGAATTACTAATTGACAGGGAATTTCTAAAATTTTATGAGAGTAAGTATAGGTAATATGTTATCTTGTTTTAAGCATATAATAGTAAATAAACTAGCAGTGCAGCCAGTAAATCTTAACGTGATTCTTTTTGGATAATTGACACCAGAACCTCCTTAATCATTTGTTTTAGTATTGGCAATATTCACAAAATACTTACTAGGGCCTTAACCTGATATTCAGGATAATTCTAGCCATTTTGCCAAGAGATTTCTCTTACATTGTGTTAAAACAATTCAGGAGGGTTATCCATGGGTTTTAGGGGTTGTCCAGCCTGTGGAGTTAGAGATCCCTGGCCACTAATTCTAGAGTATTATCTAGAAAGTTCGCCTGGGGCAGGGAGGAAAAGTGTTTGGTAAAATAAATAGGCTGTTCTCTACCAAAGCAGTGAGCTGCTGATTCCCGGGTCTGGTCAAAGTTGCTGAGTGGGTTGATCTCTGGTCTTTCCTCGACAGTGCACATTCGAAGGCTGCGGGAAACGCTTTTCACTGGACTTCAATTTGCGCACACATGTGCGAATCCATACCGGAGACAGGCCCTATGTGTGCCCCTTCGATGGTTGTAATAAGAAGTTTGCCCAGTCAACTAACCTGAAATCTCACATCTTAACACATGCTAAGGCCAAAAACAACCAGTGAAAAGAAGAGAGAGAAGACCCTTCTCGACCACGGGAAGCATCTTCCAGGAGTGTGATTGGGAATAAATATGCCTCTCCTTTGTATATTATTTCTAGGAAGAATTTTAAAAATGAATCCTACACACCTAAGGGACATGTTTTGATAAAGTAGTAAAAATTAAAAAAAACTTTAATAAGATGACATTGCTAAGATGCTCTATCTTGCTCTGTAATCTCGTTTCAAAAACACGGTGTTTTTGTAAAGTGTGGTCCCAACAGGAGGACAATTCATGAACTTCGCATCAAAAGACAATTCTTTATACAACAGTGCTCAAAATGGGACTTCTTTTCACATTCTTATAAATATGAAGCTCACCTGTTGCTTACAATTTTTTTAATTTTGTATTTTCCAAGTGTGCATATTGTACACTTTTTGGGGATATGCTTAGTAATGCTATGTGTGATTTTTCTGGAGGTTGATAACTTTGCTTGCAGTAGATTTTCTTTAAAAGAATGGGCAGTTACATGCATACTTCAAAAGTATTTTCCTGTAAAAAAAAAAAAAGTTATATAGGTTTTGTTTGCTATCTTAATTTTGGTTGTATTCTTTGATGTTAACACATTTTGTATAATTGTATCGTATAGCTGTATTGAATCATGTAGTATCAAATATTAGATGTGATTTAATAGTGTTAATCAATTTAAACCCATTTTAGTCACTTTTTTTTCCAAAAAATACTGCCAGATGCTGATGTTCAGTGTAATTTCTTTGCCTGTTCAGTTACAGAAAGTGGTGCTCAGTTGTAGAATGTGTTGTACCTTTAACACCTGCTGTGTACATCCCGTGTAACAGAAAGGGCGATAATAAAGCAGCAATCCTAAAGCAAGGACATGGCAGAGAAAGATCTGTAAGCACAGTCTTATTTTCTTCTGTTGTCCAGAATACTTATAATTCTTGAGCCTCCCAGAAATTGGAAGCTAAATAAAGCAACTCAAGTTTCCTTTATTTTGCACTCAATTACAGTGATTTGTGGTTAAAGCAATGCATGAATATTTTAATACTTCTTACATGTCCTGAATTCTGAAAGCAAGTAACAGGCAACCCAAGTTAAGGAGCTACCTCAGAGAACCCCAGACCAGGCCATTGGTGGTAGGATGTGATTTTAACCTGTCCCCGCCCCCTGCAGGCATGTGAGTGAAGCATCTGGGCCTGGGCCTGAGCGCCTCCCAAGGTAAGGCGCTAGCTGGCAGTGGGGCGCACAGAGGCAAGAGCAAGCCTTTCCATCACCCAGGCTGCCTTCGGAGCAGTTCCTGCGGGCTCTCTAACAGAAAACACTTACAGTTGGTGGTTATTGGGTTTGAGAGTGTTTGTTCCTCCATCCATTGGAGTCCTTACTAAATGTTAGCAAATGTGGCAATTGAGCGCCAGTAGCTTAATTTCATGCTTCTAAATGGGTACTGGGTGCAGATTGGAGAGGTGATTAGATTATCCAGAAATTGTGCTCAATGAGTACTTTACCTCTCACATTGTGACCTCTTAAATATACAATTATAATTTTGGACTTTACTTAGGGTCAAATATCAGACTTGTTGAAAATATTTTATAAACTGCCATGATACAGCAAAATTCCATTTATTCAAAATGCAAACATACTGTGTGTCTTCCTATGCTATGTATGCTTGACTCTGCGAGATAAATGACAAACTAGGTAGTACCAGATTTATTTACAAAATGGCCAGGACACCATCAGCTCAAACATGTAGCCCAATCTCTTATAGCTTCTCCATTGGTCCTATACAGGAGGATGGGTGACCCTGTGGCTCTGTGGAATTTTGAAGTGCCTTTTGAATCATGAATGAAAAATATAACTTGAGGCCCTTTTTTTTATTCGTCCAGAATCTGTTATCCATTGGTAGTTTGGTGGAACTGAGTTAATCAGAAGACCCCAGCTGTTCTCTGGATAAGCCAGGCTTTGCTGTATCTGGCAGTCAGGAGAGAGGTAAGCCCCTGGTGGAGATGCCCTTCACGGCCAAGTGCCCTGATGAGAACGTGGGATTCTTTGGCGAGACCTGGGCAGAAGATTCCACTGATGCCCGTACCTGCCCTCCCCACTGTCAGGTTGAGCAGTCCCGGTGTGGCTGTACTGAAATGCCACTCCGGTTGGTGCCTGTAGCAGGAGTCCAGAGCTGCATCACCCTCGCCCAGCATTATGCTGCACTGAAGCCTGGCCCTGGCACTGTCCTCAGGACCCTGCCCAAGGGCCCACAACAGCACACCTGTGCTGTGGAGAAGTCCTGCCAGCAGCCCTGGGAGCCATGCCATGACGTGCAGGAGCCAGGCTCCCGGTGGAAGGAGGCCCCTCTTCCTCTGTGCCTTGATCCCTTGGGGGATGCCTTTGGTCATCTCTTCTGTCCCTTTCTGTCTCTGAGTGGAATAGTTATCACTCCCCTTGACTCTTCTCTGTTCACATGTTTTCTCTCAGTCTGCAGAGTTAACTTCTGTAAGTTTAATCTGGGATTCAAAGCAAACTTAATGTACAAGTACCTTGCTGACATAGCACTCTGAATTTCCAACAATAGTGTAGGAAACTAATAAATGAGCAACACTATAAAAAGTAGAGGGAAGTCTCATTGGGTTTAGCCTAAACCCGTTTTGCTTGTGGTTAGATTTTATAATTTTGCTAAAGATGTAATTTACTAAAATTTGAAATGGTGTTCTAATAGTCCATTGTCTTGAGGATTAATCTAATTTATAAGTAATACTGATAGACATATTTTCTTACATCTGAGCAGAAATAAATGCATGTTTCTAGCATATGTAATATAAAAACTCCAGAGGATAAGTTTACACTTAACAAGATGTTGTTTTCTATTTTTGAATTTATTATTTCCCCCCTTTTGGTAGTGGGGTTGAGAAGGGGGAGCATAATATTTATATAAAGAACTGTCACCTCAGGGTGGCATTTATTTTCCAAGGTGACCCTGAACTCATGCTGTTGGTTTCATATGGTGTTTGTATGCTTTGCCTAAACTCAAGGCCTGAGGGTTTGGGGAAAATCAAGATTTTTTTTTTCTATTTGGTTTAACATACAGGTTCTTACAAATGTCACTTATTTTGCTAAATAGTATGCGCATTGCCTGCCCATGTTCCTAAGCAGAGTTCAAGTTCATTTCTTTACAAATAGGTGAGTCACTTCAGTCAGGAAGAAGCCTACCCAGCAAGTCGTTTGAGAATTCTTAGGTGGGTTTGCTGCTGCCCCGGTATACATTGTTTACACTCTGCCTAGCAAAACTTGATTATTTTAATGTGCCTCAGATGGGTCTCAGACTAGAGTTTATCTGTGGCACAGGGAAACCAGGCCTCCTAAAATAAGTTTTTGGATTGGAAACCTAATAATTCTATCTACCCCCCATTCCTGCTATGGCAGAGCGAAATGATCACTTCCTGTGTCTCTGACTCCTCTATGATCTGGAATCAGTGTGGCTTAGGAAGTCCTTGTTAATCTTTAATTCCATAAGTTCCTGTGTTTTTTGTTTTTTTTTTTTTTGACGTCTGGCCACCAGAGCAAGCAACGATCCCAAAGGTCAAAACAGCAGTAAGAGCTGAAGTTGCTCACAGGTGTGTACCTGATGGCCACGCCAGTGCCATGAGGTTTCCTCCTAGCTGCTCTGCTGGCCTGCTGAAGTCAGCTCCTTGCCTGTCACTGGACTGCCTTGGACCCCTGGCCGTAGGGAACACTTAGGGCCCTTTGTCCCAGCTCCACTGGCATTAGTGTGATTGTAGCACTACTTCATAATTCTGGCTCAGGAGGTCCTGGTAGGTGCATTTCACCCAAACCCAAGAGGTGGGGGAGGAAGCCAAAAGTCGAGGGTGTACTTCCCTGCGGTTCTGGTCGTGCACTTCTCTTTGAGTTTACAGAAGGTACTCCATGCTTTCAGAATCACCAGTCACTCTTTGGCATTTGACTGGCTGGCTGGCTAGATATCATTCACCCTAAATTACTGACCTTTGAATTTTATCTTGTTACTGCTCAGATTGTGGGCAGATGCCCTGGTTGCCTGAAGATGGTTTAAGTGCAGGCCCTTCAGACAAGCGCGGTATCAGGCAGGAGTGGGCTGGCCTCTCACCCACAGGAGGGCAGATACAGGGCTAAGAGGCTTTCTGGCATCTGCACCAGTCCCGAGTGGTCATTACGGTGCTGGAGAGGACCTTTGAGCTGGGACTGTTGGGAGACTTGGTTGGGAGGGACAGGTGGCGTGTTGTTGATGCCCATTGCCCAGTCCCCCTTAGTAAAACTGGAAGGGAATGTTGAAGTTGTATATTGGCATTAGGTTAGCAGGCAGATCATACCTCCCACAAACAAGGTGCAAGAAGGTGTGAGCTGCCAAATGGAGGGCTCTGGCCATGCTGCGCATCCCAGCGCCCTGGGTCCCAGCTAGCATTCTGGGAGTCTGCAGAGGGTCGGTGTGGTGGCATCTCATTCATCTGATGCACAATGATTGAATTTCCACAAAGTGGCATGTTTGATCAAATTGCTGTTCATCAGACACTCAGCCACCATAAGAAACAGCATTGGGGTCTGTGGGGAGGGGCAGCTTGCTGTGGTCTGTTCTGTTGGCTGCCCTTGGGGCTGCAGGGTATCTGCATATGTTACAGAGGGAGACGGGCATCCATACCTGTTATGAGGCTCTGTTAACCTACTACAGATGGTGAGAAAAATTCTGTTTTTGTTCACTTTCTGGTAATTTCTGTAGGCCCTGACTCAAGGACTTAGCATTGTGTCTCATGTACATCTTTTTCTTAAGTGTTCTTTGCCATTTCTGGAATTGTCCTTGGTTTTTCCTTAGCTCATAGGTCATAGATGCAGAAATATTATAGTGTTTAAGGCATCCGCATCAAGCATCAGATGGCTTTGCATCCAGAAAAACATTGATAACTCAGTTTGAAGCACCAAGCATGTGTAACATGGCTCTATAAAATACAATAAATGCATAATGTTAAGCTTTTTAATGCCTGTGGTTCTTGTTTGTTCCTCACTCCTCTAAGCCGCCTCTTTTGCCCTTCATTACATATTTTCTTTTTTTTTTTTTTTTTTTTTTTGAGACTGAGTCTCGCTTTGTTGCCCAGGCTAGAGTGAGTGCCGTGGCGTCAGCCTAGCTCACAGCAACCTCAAACTCCTGGGCTCAAGCAATCCTGCTGCCTCAGCCTCCCAAGTAGCTGGGACTACAGGCATGCACCACCACGCCCGGCTAATTTTTTCTATATATTTTTAGTTGGCCAATGAATTTCTTTCTATTTATAGTAGAGACGGGGTCTCGCTCTTGCTCAGACTGGTTTCAAACTCCTGACCTCGAGCAATCCGCCCGCCTCGACCTCCCAAAGTGCTAGGATTACAGGCGTGAGCCACCGCGCCCGACCCTCATTACACATTAAAGCCAGTGATAAACTTTGCCTGGTCAGTCTGGGGGTTGCCAGAACTGCCAGGGCAGATCCTTGTGGCTTTCCTTCCTGCATAGGAATGGAAACGCTCAGGATTCAGTCTCACACCTGCAAGAAATGCTTCCCTTCTCACTGCGTGATTTCAGAAAAAGAAATGCTTCCTTAACATAGCCTTACAGCTCCAAGATGGACTGATGAGCCAAAAATTTTAAGGAGAACCTCACCCACTTTTCAGAAAGTGCAAGCAACAGCCCAAATGAAATTCCTGGGCAGCTGAGCCTGTGATTCTGTGTCAGCCCTGGAAGCTGTGGAGCCAAAAAGAAAAGCTTACTAACTGGGATGGACTCTCATAACAACTCAGTAATGTATATCTAGAGCTGCCTAGGATTTGGCCAAAAGCAAAGTGCAGTGCAGCATTTTCCTCCCCTGGCTGGAGCCCTGTGTCTAAGGTGCTACAGAGTGAGACTCTTTAATACACGTAACTTTTTTTGCTAGTGACAGAAGGGGCTGCTGACAAAACGTTGCCGAGGTGGCAAGTCCCAGACTTGGGTGAGCCCAGGTGGCCCAGTGAAGGCCCAAGGTTGAGTAGAGCTCTGCTGAGGAAAAGCCGTGGTGACAAAGTGTGTGCGTTGGTGGATTTTAGATGGAAAGGAACTGAGGGCTTTGGAATTGCTTTCTGGGGGGCACCCCCAGGTAAAAACGAAACCAGCACCTCTCCTTTGCACTTGCCCAGATCTCTGCCTGGCTGTACTCACATTTGTTGAGTTCCTAACTTGTGCCCAGGGTCCCATGTCACTTCATTTACTCCTCCAAGCCACCCTTTGAGGAACCAAGGTAGTATAAGCACCATGTTGTGGGTGAGGAAACAAACTCAGAGGTTTACTTGCAAAAGTCTGGGCAGCAGAATTCAAAACCCAGGCCTGCCTGGCTTCCACTCCCGATTGCCATTGGTCCCTTGACCTAAATACAACCCCCTTTCAAAGCAGCACATGGGCCTCCCTGTCTCTGGCTTGTTTTGCAAGGGGCCCTCAGGACTCCCCCACTGCCCACCTACCTCAGTTCCTTCTGGCCTCAGCTGCTCCCCTCGGGCCTTGTGGACACCACCCACCATACACATCTAACCTTCAGTGGCTCACCATTTCCTGCTGAAAATCCATAGTTTTTCCCACCCTCACAGCCCATCCACAGCCTTCCTGAGTGATTGCTATCCTGTCCCTCACCTCCCTCTTGCAGTTTTCATTTCCAGAGCTTTCCTATCCTGAATACCTGGGTTCACTTGTGGTCTGAGTTATGTGCCACGCCCTGTTTTAGGCTCTGATGACATTGCCCCAGTGGAACTTGCATTACCTCTAGTAGAGGAGACATTCCGAGGAAAGGTGGGCAAGCTAAGTGCTGTGAGTAGAGTTGAGTGGGCTGGGGAGGAAGAGGAGGTGTGACAGGTCAGAGCAGGTCTGACACTGGCTTCCTCCTGTGCGTTGTCACGTGCCATCCCCAACCCGTCTGCTCCCCGGCGCTGGCTGCTGCCCACCCTTCCCTTGCCCCTCACTCTCTCTGTCCCCCACTTCGCAGGAGCTGCTCCCTACCCCGCTAGATCCTTCTCTCCCCCAGGCTGCCTGCGGGCCGGGCTGAGGGTGCGTCCTGCTGTCGGCCCGCGCGAGGGCGCTGCGGGCCGGCCTGGAGGGCAGCGGCCTCGGGCGGGGAGGCCATGCACCATGCGCAAGCGAGCAGCGCGGGACCGCCCAAGAAGTCTTCTCTGTGCCCTTTCAGGTGACACTCCCGCAGCTAGCAGCGCTGGTCTCGTGCTGGGTACGCTCCAGGCGGCGGAGTGGGCTGGAAGCACAGGTCGCTCAAGGCCTAGAGGGACAGGGCAGGGGGCCAGATTGGAAAGGCCTGGAAAGTGGGCACTTGGTCTTCCTCGCTGGTGCAGCACAGTTGGATCGTCTGCTCACGGGGGCTCCAGGTAGGGGGGTTCCAGCCAGCAGGGGGCCGGCCACAGGAACACAGAAGGGTGTGTCTGTGATGCCCACGCAGGGGAGGGGACACATTCCTAAGGACCCCTTGAGCATGGCCTGGAGTTGGGAGGGAGCCCGGTGCACCCCTAGACCAGAAGGAGGTGCAGGTCCCTGCATTAGGGCCTGGAAAGAAGTAGGCACCTGGTGTGGGGGAGGGGAGCAGGAGGAGCAGGTCTGAGGCAGGAGGACGAGTGAGGACCCAGGTGGCCGGGGCAGGGGAGACTGAGGGCCTTCAGTGTGTCAGGTTGGATGGGAGGGGCGGGCGGGGGTCCTCTCTCACCCTCATACTACAGGCAGCCTGTGGGGTTCCCCCTCACCATCCTCTGCCTGATGAGTCCTGAGGCCCCTCCTTCCCTCCCAGGGGCCCCAGCCTCGCTCCAGCCCCCAGTGAGGCCTGTGCCCACCATCCACGGCCTGACTACACACTCCTATATTCTTGCCTTCCTTTTCCCTCTCTGTATTGCCTGGCAAAAACGCAATCTGGCCTCTGCCCTCATCCATCCTCCCATTCATTCATTCGTTCCACAGTGGACTGATTTTGCACCCCCTGGCCCTCTTGGAGCTAAAGTAAAATTGGGAGATAAGCAAAGAGTAAGCACTGTCACCATATTAAAGGGAGCTCACCATGTTCCCCTATGCCTGCTCCCTGGCCTGTGTCCCACTACAGAGAATGTCCCCCCTTCACCCATGGGGACATTCAAGCCAGAATTCCCAAATGTATCATTCACTCCAACTTCATGGAGCATTACAGCCTGCATGGTGTCATCTAGCCCGGCAGAGCATGGCTGGGGAGGGCTTGAGCGCAGCGCCGTTTCAGATGGGGAGCAGGGTGCCACCAGGTGGGCTTGGGGAGACTGGTGTTCCCCATGGGCTGGGAGAGGTCAAGCCAGAGGGAACCAGGCTGAGCAAGGGGGCCCCAAGGAGATAGGCCCAGCCCCCTGCAGCCGCTGCCCTATCTCTGGCCGTGAGGGACACTGGCCCCACCCCGCCATGCCCAGTCCCCTGGGAAGTGAGCTCTGGAGCCAGCTATGTGCATCTGCCGCTCGCTGGGCAGCTGGGTGCCATGCAGTCAGGAGTGAGCAGCAAGCAAGCAGCAAGGAAGCCGAGACCAAAGAGCACATCGTGGGGGGAGGGGGGGGAAATGGACATTTATTGAAACCTTAAAATCTGTACCCCCATGATATGCCGAAATAAAAAAAAAAAAACAAACAAAAAAAACCAAAGAGCACATCGTGGGTCCTGGCCCTGCCCCCTTTGACTCCCCCTCTGGTGCTTGAACTGTCACTCCAGGGGTGTCTCTCACTTCCAGCCACAGAGCTTGGCCCATTGGCCACCTGGAGTCTAGAGGGCTGGCCCAGGCTGATCCTGCTGCAGGGTGAAGGATGGCATGGGCACGGTGAAGGCTGCAGCCCCAGCACAAACTGACTGTGTGACCTTGGACAGGGCCCTCCCCCACTGGCATCCTGTGCCAGCACTGACCTTGTAGGGCTGGTGTGCAAAGGGCTGAGCCATTGTCCCTACAGTCACAAGAACCACGTAGGGAGGGCTGAGGTGGGACGAAGGGGACCTAGGTGCATTTTATTTTTTTAGAGATGGGGTCTCACTCTTGCTCAGGCTGGTCTCAAATTTCTGACCTCAAGGGATTCTCCCACCTTGGCCTCCCAGAGTGCTAGGAGTACAGACTTGAGCCACCATGGCTGCCCAGGTGCATTTTATTTTATGAGAAATGCCTCACTAAAGGCTCAGGCTGGTGGTGGGCGCAGCCCAGGGAGGCTCATGCTGCTTTCTTTCTGAGCACCTGAAGTCTAAAGGGACCAAAAGAAAAGGGGAGGGAAGCCAGTGTGTGAGACCCAGGGTGGGCCAGCCTTGGCACTGGAGAAAACGGCAAAAACAGTCTCTCAGGTTTAGACTCAAAGTGCCCCCAGACTGCATGGGAGGAGGGATGCTGCTTTGCTTGGACTCTGAACCAAGGCCTAGAGCTCCACTCAGCCCTCACCGGGGGTGTCGCCTGCTCCCTACCCCTCCAGGCTTTGAGCCCCCCATCCCCTCCCGGAGACAGCAGCCTCAGCAGTGCCCTTCCAAAGCCTTTCTAAGGAATCAAGGAAGGAGTCTCAAAGAAGGTTCCAGATCCCTGCCAAGTTCTCAGACTGGCTCCTGCCACATGGTTTTGCCTCCCTTGACTGCACCCCTGACACCTCCACGGCCTTTGTCTTCTTCTGCCCTTTATTCCCCAGAGTGACCTTGCCCGCATGCCACTGGGGCCCTCCATCCTTCACCTCGGATGCCCTTTGGCTCAGACACCCACAGGCAGCCCCTGGGGCCTTTGTCTCCCACCCCAGCCTGCCTCCTAACCTCCTGTGGGATCTTTAAAGCAGAGGTCAAACCCTGTCACTCCCCTGGGTAAAACCTGCCAATGGCCTCTGGACACAACAAAATACACTCCCAACTCTACATAGTGGCTTGTGGTGCATTTGGGTGCAAAGGAGAGGTGTCAGTGAGGTGGCTTAAGCCTGTGATCCTAGCACTCTGGGAGGCCACGGCAGGAGGATTGCTTGAGCTTGGGAGTTCGAGACGAGCCTGAGCAAGAGAAGACCTCCTATCTACCAAAAACACAAATATTAGCCAGGTGTGGTGGCACATGCTTGTAGTCAGTCCCAGCTACTCGGGAGGCTGAGGCTGGAGCATGGCTTGAGCCCAGGCCTTGGAGGTTGCAGTGAACTATCATGATGCCACCGCACTCTAGCCAGGCCGGCAGAACAAAACTCTGTCTCAAAAAAGAAAACAGAGAAAAATATCCCTGTTGTGGGTCAAATTTTGTTCCCCCAAAAGATATGTGGAAGTTCTAACCCCAGGTAACTGTGAATTTGATCTTATTTGAAAACTGCGTCTTTGTAGATGTTTTTTAGTGAAGATGAGGTCATACCGGGGTAGAGGCCCCTAACCCAATAGGACTGGTGTCCTCATAAAGAGAGGACATAGAGACAGACCTCAGGGAGAAGGTCGGGCAGAGACGGAGGCGGCGGCTGGAGTGATGTCACACACTAAGGCGGCTACCACCAGAAGCTTGGAAGATGCAAAGAGCGGTCTGTCCCTCTGAGCCCCCTAAAGGAAGCGCGCCGCCCGCGCCTGGATTTCGGTCCTCCAGCACTTCAAGAGAATAGAGCTGTCGTTTTAGCCACACCGTTTGTGACATTTTACGGCAGTCCTCGTGAACTATTAATAACAATACAACCTCCAAGATAACTGTCAAGTGAAGAAAGGCCACGCCTTGCGGGGTGTGGACGTCCCAGCGCTGGGGCCTGTCCTTGACTCCGGCGGGGAGTGGCCGGCTCCGGGGGCGGGTGGGGAGGTTTCCTCTTCACTGCACAGCCTGGGTTCTACTTGGGTTCTTATTTTTACCACTTTCATATATTAGTTATTACAAATAAAATTAATTCAAATTAGGGAGAAAATGAAATGCAAAATAAACTTGTTTAAAAACCCTCTGTTCCCTGCCTCCCAGATCTGTTGGGCACGTCTAGCGATCAGCTGTGAGGATCGGGGCGGGGGCCCCACTTTGTAGCATTTGCCAATTTCTCCAGGGTTTGCCCCACTGTGGCCAGTTCGGAGCCACCACTATGAAGCCACTGATTGGGGAAGCGGCAGGGAGCCAGCAGCGTCACTCCTCACTTCCGGAGGGTTTGTCTGTTTACCGTCCAGCCAGGACTGAGCCCCTGGGGGGCAGGCAGCAGCATGGGTCGGTGGCTGCTGCCTCCCTAGAACCCAAAACGGCCTTGAGGTGAACAAGTCCCAATAAATACTTTGCTTAAATCAGTTCCCAGGAAGGGTCACGTTGGGGCGTTTCCAGAGAGTGCAGGTGTGGGACAGATGGAGGGTGATGGCACGTTGAAGACGTCATGGCCATAAGCCCCGCCAGGCTGTCACTTAGAGATGCAGCCACCCAGGCTCAGAGAGGCAAGGGGTCTGGCCAAGGCCACTCAGCTAGGAGTAGAGGAGCAGGTTGAGGCCAGAGTGTGTCCCCCACCCTCAGAGTGTCCCCAGGTTTCTTTCTGAGGAGAGTGAGAGGCCAAGGGGACCCCAGCCAGCCTTCCTGGCCTTCTGCCCTGGAAACCGGAGGAGCTTGACGTCAGTCTGGCACCAGTGACGAAACATGGTGCACTGGCCCAGGACTGCTGGGGCCCCTCCCTGGGCAGCGGGCAGAGCTTTTTGGCTCAGTAGTTGGGAAGGAAGGAGCCTCCCTGGCTGGTAGGTGCAGAGGTGCTGGGTGCCCAGGGCTGACTCCAGGAGGCAGAGCAACACTCGGTGGGGTGGGCAGTGAGGCCCCCCTGCTTTTGGCAAGCCTTCAGGAAGGCCTCTTCCAGGAAGCCCTCTTAGGCTGGGTTAGGTCCAGGCTGCGCAGGCTGGGACTGGCAGGAGGCTGCTTCAGGATCCTCCCAGTCCTGTCCCCCTCACCGCAGCCTCCCATTGCTGGGACAGGGCACTTGCTGGACGGCTGAGCATGTTTACAGGCTTGGAACACCCCCCCCCCCCGTGGCCTTCCTTAGCTCACCTTGCAGATGAGGACACTGAGGCACTCAGACGTAGCCGTAACCTGCCCCAGGTCGCATGGCTAAGCCGCAGGATCCGAGGGCACCCAGGCCACCGAGCGGGCCTCTGACTCCAGGGTGAGGGTGGGGAATGGAGCCCCTTTCTCCGCAACGCACAAAGGAAGCCTCACCACTTAAAAAAAACGAAGAATACTTTATTCCCTCAGAGTTTCTGTACAGTAACATCACACCACACAGAGCTGGAGCTCGTCCTCACGGAGCACGGCCTGCCTCCTGGGGGCCTCTCCCGCCCCGGCAGGCACGCCTGGCCATCCCTGTGCCCACTACCAGGCCCTCTGCTGAGGGGTGGACCAACTGACCTTTGGCTTCTTTGTGGCCTGAGCTGGGCGAGCCCGGGGCTGGGGGACCCTCTGCACGCCCTGGGGACTCCAGCTGGTGGTAGTGGGCCAGGGACCCAAGCATCCCCCAGCTGGCCCATGTCCCAGCCATTTTACAGGTGGCAGCCTGAGGCCAGAAGCTGAAAGGATGTCCCCTTGCCACAGCTGCATCGCACTTTAACTGCAGAGACCACGCCCCACTGGCCTGTGCGCGCTGCCCTCCCAGCCCCGGCTGATGTGGAGCCTCCGGCAGACGGTGGCTTCCCGGTCTGGCCTCCAGTGGCAGGAGCAGCAGCTGGCCATGCCGTGTGGAGCGGTGCCATATGGAGACGCTGGGGTGCACTGGCAGAGCGTCCAGTCCCGTGACACCAGGAGGCACTCCTAGCTGCCCGCTGTCCCTAACAGACCAGGGAGGTGGCCAAGAAGTCTCCCTGGAGCTCAGCCAGGTGGAGGGTTTGGGGAGTTAGCAAGTCCCTGGGCAGCCACTGGGGGCTCATCAGAGACCCCTGGGAGCCAGCCTGCAGGACAGGAGCACAGGGGCGGTGGCCAGGATGCCAGGTGGGGCGGAGGTATCCCCAGTAACGTTTCCAGGTGCAGAGAGCCATGACTCAGCCAGGCCTGGGGATCGTCTCTGAGCTTCCTGACTACACAATGTGGGTATGAGGGTCCCCATTTCATAGGTGAGAACACTGAGGCCAGCAGAGTGAAGTTCGTTGCCAAGGTCACCCACCTGATGAGCGAAGTTCCACCCAGGTCTCACAGAACCCACAGCCCACAGCACCTGGGCCGGGCAGTCAGCTAGGGGGCCAATTCGCGCCATTGCGGGGTTTCTGAAGAGCGATGCCTGGGGAAGCAGGGCGGGGGACGACGGGCGTCACAGGCTGGAGGGCTGGGCCAGGGAGGGCCCCGCGGGCGCAGCGGGCACAGCCTCGCCCTCCGGCCGGGCCTCCTCGCCCCGCACATAGGTGAGCACCACGGTGACGGTGGCGAAGGTGGCGGCGTTGACCGGGAAGGCGCGCAGCAGCGTGGACGCCAGCCCCCGCGTGAAGACGCGCCAGCCCTCGGCCTGGTAGCTCTGGCGCACGCAGTCGAGGATGCCGCGGTAGCGCGGCGCGCCCCGCAGCCCGTCGGCCTGCAGCCGCGACTTGACCACGTCCACGGGGTAGGTGGAGAGCCAGGACGCGATGCCCGCCGTGCCGCCCGCCAGCAGCAGTTTGGGCACCAGCAGGCGGTCGCCCGGCTCGCAGCCCAGCGCGCGCGTCAGCACGTCGTAGGCCAGGAAGTAGACGCCGAAGCTGGGCGTCTCGCGCAGCAGCGTGGCCAGCATGCCGCGGTTGACGCCGCGCACGCCCTCGCGCCGGTAGGTCTGCGCCAGGCAGTCCAGGGAGCCCCGGTAGGCGCGCGCCGCGCCCGCGTCCTGCAGCTGCAGCCGCGTCTTGGCCAGCTCCATGGGGCAGCAGATGACGCACTGGATGGCGCCCGCCGCCGCGCCCGCCAGGAACTGGTTGAGCGGCGAGTCGCGGCCCAGCGCCCGCAGGGTGTTGCCCTGCACGCCGAACACCAGCGCGTTGATGAAGGTGAGCCCCATGAGGGGCGAGCCCAGGCCCTTGTACAGGCCCAGCACCTGCGGGGACAGAGGCGCGTCAGGGCCGCCAGGGCGCCCAGCCCACCTCCCCAGCCCTCTATGCAGCGGGGGCAGCCCCCGCCCACCCTAGATGCTCCTGAGGACCAAGCAGAATTTTATCAGAGCCCACGTCAAGGCCAGGGGCGGTGGCTCACACCTGTAATCCTGGCCCTCTGGGAGGCTGAGGTGGGCAGATTGCTCCAGGTCAGGAGTTCGAAACCAGCCTGAGCAAGAGCAAAACCCGTAGACGTAAATACTCGACTATAAATACAAAGAAATTAATTGGCCAACTAATATATATAGAAAAAATTAGCTGGGCATGGTGGCGCATGCCTGTAGTCCCAGCTACTCGGGAGGCTGAGGCAGGAGGATTGCCTGAGCCCAGGAGTTTGAGGTTGCTGTGAGCTAGGCTGACGCCGCGGCACTCACTCTAGCCTGGGCAACAGAGTGAGACTCTGTCTCAAAAATAAATAAATAAATAAAAGAACCCACGTCAAAATTCGCCTGGCCACCACCCCGATGCCTTCCTTTCCCGCTCTCTGGCCTGGAGCGTGGCAGCCTGGGCTGGCTCCCGCCCTCCACACCGACCGCCCAGGCCACTCACGCTCTCCTGCTTGACGATGGAGCGGAAGCAGTGCAGGGTGCCGCGGTACTGGGGCTTCTCCACGCTCTGGACCTGCAGCCGCACCTGCAAGGAGAGGGCCCGTGAGAGGCGGGCAGGCCAGAGCACCAGCACCCACGCCCGGCACTCGCCACTGCCCAGACGGGCTCTTGAGGAGGCCCACAGCAGGATGCACGAGGCAGGGACCCAAGGAGCTTTCCATGGCTTTTGGAATTCCAGGATGTGGCAGGGCCAGCTACCCATGCCTCCTCAGGAGGGGTGTATGTGGGCAAACAGCTACAGGGACAGCCAGCTGGAGACAGGGCAGGGGGTCCCCAAGGGCTCAGACAAGTCAAGGTTAAGCCTCTTGTTTTCACTGTGGCTGCACCATGCACTCACAGTGCGGCATGAACTGCCTCCTGAGACCGACCCACCATCCAGGTGACACCTGTCCTCCTGCTGAGTGGCTAATGTCCCAAACCAGAGCTGATGCCAGAGGAGCTCCCAACCTAACGTCCACCACGTAGCTGTCAGGGGCTGGCATCGAGGCAACAGAACTCTCGCCTGTAGCCTTCTGGGAGAACCGTGGTCATGACTTAATAGAGTGGTGACAAGAGAAGAGCTGACAGCCTCCTTGGGGACAATGTCAGCAGCTCCGGGGCCTGGGACACTGGTCAGGCCCAGCCACCTCCAAGCCCTGTGGCCCAGAACCTCTTACATGTCAAAGGGCCCTTTGTTGCCTGAGAGCTTATCTTGGCTCTTGGCGGAGCAGGAGGGACACTTCCTGAACTCAGGAATCCATGTCACGGGGGTGGCAGTAAACTAGGTCATGTCACCATCTCAGGACCTGGCTCCCCAGATCTAACTCAGGGAAGATTCATGATCACAGCCAGGGCCACAGGCAAGCACCCTGTGCCTGGTAGCGGGGGGCGGGGGGTGGGGGGTAGAGGGGCTCCACCCTCACTATCTCAGGGCATCGGAATCACCTGCCGCGATGGGTGATGGGTACGTTGCCCCCATTTCCAAGAGGGGAAGACTGAGGCTCAGGAGTTTTGCAGCGCAGCCTCTCCAGGGACCTGAGCTGCTGTGTGGTGAGGGTGAGGGCGGGGTGGGGTTCTGGCAGGCGAGAGTCCTCGCAGGGGAACAGCCGGCTTCAGCCGGCTTCTGGAACCTTTTCCAGTTCTCTCCACCAGAATAGGTGGATCTTCGATCGGTGAATGCACTTACAACAAAACGTTTTGTTACCAAAAAAGAGTGCGATCTCTGCACCTGAGGACTGGGCGGCTGGCAGGCGCTGCTGTGAGGGGCAGCGGGCAGCCGGTGTACCCTGCAGCGACTGGCCCACAGAGCCCCTTGGCGGCAGCCCCGCCCTCTGACGGCACCTACAGGGCAGGGGGTGGCTTCTCAGAGAAGAAAAGCACAATCACTTGTTGAACTTTAACAACGCCTAACACCGTGAGCTCTGGCTCAGGAGCCGTTTTTGTGCTGTGAGGGTTTTTACTTTCCCTCCAATGTTCTGGGGTCTCTGGCGGGACACTTCTGTTCCTCCTGCAGCCCCGACACTGGCACTAAGAGGGCTTGGGTAGCAGAACAATGTGAGGTGGAGCTGTCCCTTCCTCGGTCAGGTTTTCGATGCCACCTGGGCAGTGTCTTTAAGTCTCTGCAGGTCGCAGACACTGCTGAATGCCCGGGTCCTGCCACCAAAGTGGCAGAGGCCTCTCTCCACTGTGTTTCTGACCCTGGGTCTGCGACAAGCCCTGGCTGTCCGGGACTCTGGGGTACCAAGTATGGGGGTGAACTGTGGCCCAATGGCCCAAGTTCTGTGGTATCTAGAGCTGAGGATCTTAATATTTTGGGGTGACAGGATCTCCTCTGAGGACTGATGGAAACGGACCCCCCCTGGGATAGTGGTCATTTGCTCGCAAGCCCAGGAGGCTTCCAGCTCCCCACGGGGCCGGAGACCCCCGGTCCAGAGCGGTCTGATTACTCTCGACTAGCCCCACCAAGCCCCCATCCCGGGACCTGTGCTGGGCCCACGCTGGCCTCACACCCTCCCTGTCCCCTGCGGGTCACAGAGGGAACACTGGGGGTTGGGGGCAGGGGTCTGGGTCAGCGAGGACGGACGGAGAAGAGGTTCACCTGGTCTGTACTTACTAGCGCTCTCCGGGGTGAGGCTTACGCTCATCTACAACAAAGTTACACTTTTGCTATGGATGGAGACAGCCCCTAGCTCAGAAAGTAAAGGCGGTTAAAGCAACACAAAATTTCAACATCACATCTAGGCGCGGAGCCCCCGAGGCCAGCCCCTCCCTCCCTGCCCCTCCCCTGCCCTGGGCTGGCCAGCCACGCTTCCAGGTCGGTCAAGAGGAAAGCTCGTCCTCCCAGATGAAAGCAACCTGTCCCTGACTGTAGAGCCCAGTGAAGCAGGACAGCACGGGCTGACACGGACTCGGGTGGCCCCCTGGTGTGTTCCAGGGTACAGCTCCCATTATATTAAGTTCAAGACAAGCAAAAGGAGCCCGTATTGTTAGAAGTCTGGACAGTGGAAGCCTTGGGAGGAGGAGAGGGAGGAGCTGCTAGGAGGGTGGGGGTCTCTAGGGGACCGGCCATGGGCTGCTTCTCCTGCGTGGCGGCTTATGGCCGATTTGCAGACTTTACACCTAGGATGTCTCTCTGTGCCTTGGTGCATGTGTTAAACGTCAATTAAAACCAAATAAAAAACGACTATAGCAGAACCAGGCATCGTGGCACATGCCTCTAGTCACTGAGAAGCTCAGGCAGGAGGATCGCTCGATCACCCCAGGGGTTGAACGTTTCAGTGAGCTGTGATGACTCCACGGCACTCCAGCCGGGGCGACAGAGTGAGACTCTGTCTCAAAACAAATAAACAACAACAAAAAGTAAATCAATCCCACGTTTGCCAACAGCGAACAATGTACGTGGGTGGTCTGTGCACACTTGTGTTTTGCAGCAGAGGTCATCTGCAAGGTGGGGGAGAGGATCTATGAAGAGCTGGCTTTTTTCTTTCTAGTTTATATACCTCTATTACGGTTAACAATTTTCTTACAACCTACACTTTTGTAATAGAGAGCCAACAAAAAATGTGCATCCACCTGATGATTAAAACATATTTTAAAAATATCACAAGGCAGGGCGGAGGGTGGATTCTGAGGGCAATGTGTAAAATGTAAACGCTGATTTGTGTGGGGGAGAGAAGAATTGGCTTTTCCCCCTACATTTCCCAATTGTCTTTTTTTTTTTTTTGAGACAGAGTCTTGCTTTGTTGCCCGGGCTAGAGTGAGTGCCGTGACGTCAGCCTAGCTCACAGCAACCTCAAACTCCTGGGCTCAAGCGATCCTCCTGCCTCAGCCTCCTGATTAGCTGGACTACATGCCCGGCTAATATTTCCTATGTATTTTTAGTTGACCAATTAATTTCTTTCTATGTTTAGTAGAGACGGGGTCTCGCTCTTGCTCAGGCTGGTTTCAAACTCCTGACCTTGAGTGATCCTCCTGCCTCAGCCTCCCAGAGAGCTAGAATTACAGGTGTGAGCCACCATGCCTGGCCCCCAATTGTCTTCTTTTTTTTTGAGACAGAGTCTCGCTTTGTTGCCCAGGCTAGAGTGAGTGCCGTGGCGTCCGCCTAGCTCACAGCAACCTCAAACTCCTGGGTGTAAGCAATCCTCCTGCCTCAGCCTCCCGAGTAGCTGGGACTACAGGCATGCGCCACTGTGCTGGGCTGATTTTTTCTATATATATTAGTTGGCCAATGAATTTCTTTCTATTTATAGTAGAGACGGGGTCTTGCTCTTGCTCAGGCTGGTTTCGAACTCCTGACCTTGAGCAATCCGCCCGCCTCGGCCTCCCAGAGTGCTAGGATTACAGGCGTGAGCCACCGCGCTGGCCGGCCCCCCAATTGTCTTTTAAAGAGAATGTGTAACCTGTGTAGCGGAAGACAGCGCGAGCGCTTAGCCCACGGGTGACAGCACTGCATCGCGCCAGGGGAAGGCACTCTTGAGGGCAGGGAGCCCTTGGGAGGGTGCGACTGTTGGGGCAAGGAGGTGCTAACCAGGGCAGGTTTTCTCCCCTTTTATAATAAAAAGCTCGGCTTTTTAAGGCGGGTTTGCCCAGATGTGATGCTGGTGGGCCACAATGGCAAAAAAAGAAAAAAAAAAAATGTCACAAAGTCACAAATGATCTTTTCAAAGACCACCCTGCAGGCGCCAGGGGAGTGGGGTCTGGGAGCTAGAAACCGGTGAGGTGGGGAGGGGTCCTGCACCCGGGCGTTCCCAAAGGTGCTGGCCACGCGCTGGCAGCTCAGATGGCCGCGCAGGCACCGGGAGGACAGCGCACAGGGCTCCCCGGAAGCCCGGCCTCCGAGCAGCCGGGCAGAGGAACGGCACCCGAGGCACTGCGTGGCTGGACACGGCTGTGAGAGGCGTTCCCAGCACGTGACCACGAGACACAAACACGGCGTGACGTGGAGACCGCCAGGCTGTCCCGGGCTGCTCCAGCCCCTGGGTAGGTGTCACTGGGGCCTGGCGAGGTGGCGTGGGGGCATGGCGGGCAGGCTGCACGCACGGGCTCTGCCAGGGCCTCCCTCTTGGCAAGCCCGTGGACGGACCTCAGGGGCCACTGTCTGCCAGGAAAGCCTGGCCCTCAGCCTCCTCCCCGGACCTGCCCGCTGGGCTAGCGTCTCGCCCACCGCGAACTGCACTGCCGCACACCCGGCACCAGGAGGGGGCTGGACAATCTCCCCAGCCCCTCATTTTGCACATGAGAACGCGTGAGCCCAGAGGTACAGTGACTGGCTCAAGGTCATGTGTCAAACCAGCTGGCAGAGGGGCTCTGCCAGCCCCCGAATAACAAGTTATTTTCTCTGCCAACAAACATCTGGGCTCCAAGAATGGAAAAACAAGCACCAGATATATTCTCCAGCAAACTGGTATTAACTGAGTAGCATCTAAGTGGACACACAGGTGCTACAGTAATAGGGTATTGGGGAGGTGGGAGGGGGGAGGGGGGCGGGTATATACATACATAATGAGTGAGATGTGCACCATCTGGGGGATGGTCATGATGGAGACTCAGACTTTTGGGGGGAGGGGGGGAAATGGGCATTTATTGAAACCTTAAAATCTGTACCCCCATAATATGCCAAAATAAAAAAAAATAAAAAAAAAAAACATCTGGGCTCACTGAAAAAAAGAGGAGACAGGAAGTCTATCTCAGACCCCGCTCGGGGTGACATGTCTTGCTTGTGGCTCTGCCCTCCCTCCACCGGGAGAAGGTGCCAAGTTCAGTGTTTGTAGCAAGTACGGGTCTGGCCTCTTGCCCGCTGCTTGCGGCTCGCCCTGGCTCCCAGGGAAACGGCCAGGAAGGGTCCTGGCGTGGCTAGTTTAAGAGCATAAAACCCCAACCGAACACTTATTCGGGAATTTCCAACTGGAGGACATGGAGTTCTTGGTTTCTGTTCTGGGGCCTCTGGGACTGGGACCTCCCCCTTACCATGGCGTGGGGCACATCCAGGCGGAACCGGCCGGCTGGGCACCTGCCCCAGGGCCTGAGGTCCCCAGCAGGGGCGACCCTCCGGGGCCCCTCCCTAGGTCTCTGGCCACGGACCCCTGGCAGGTGCATGTGGGCACTTGGGACGCAACTGCTCACTTTCTCCATAATGACAATACCGCTCTGTGAGGATCGCGTTAGTGGGCAGCACTGCCGAGCTTGGATTTCTCTGTTTCTGTATTTTCTCTCTGAACTCTCTTTCGAGAGGCCGTCAGGAAGTTCTGCATCAGAGCAGCGTGCGGTCCTCGCTCTGGGCGGGAGGCAACGTGCTCCTGGCACCCTGGGCTCAGCCGGCCAAGCCCGGGGATGGACCTGGCCGTGAACCCAACCTGGCTCGGCCAAAGACACAGGGCAAACCTGCAAGGAAGTGATGTTCAGCTTGGCCCCGTGGGAAAGCAGCTGCCACTCGGGCATCCTGGAGAGCTCTTACTCTACCTCTATTCTAAAACCCAAGCGAAGACCTTGACCGTCGTCCTGAGGTTGTACCTGGAAAGGGGCCTCCAGGCACCCCTAACCCTGCCGGTCCCTCCCAAGGCCTGAGAAGAAAATGGTGACGACAGACTCACCTTGACAGTGTCAAACGGGTGTCCCACAAGCACACCTGCCACACCTGGAGGAGGAAAAGGGAACGTGTGAGCCAAATGCCTCAGAAACGTGCAGCGCAGGGCGCCGGGGCACGGCGGGGTTCTGGCAAGGAGGACCGGGCAGGGCTGTGGGAGGGAAGGGACACTGGCCAAGCACCTGCTGGGCACCGGGCACATCCCCCGAGCTCCCGTAATCCTCACGTCCAGTGGGGGTGGAGGGGCGTGTGAGAGAGAGAAAGGCATCCCAAGGTCAAGCCTCGACTGCTGCCAGCCGCAGGGGACTGGTCTGGGTGGCTGGCCACAAACGTTGTCCCCTGAGAGGTTGCACACACTATTTCTGGGATGTCCCATTGCTCTATGCACCTTCTAGTATGAGCAGGAGGCTTGGGGGATGTTGCACTTTGGGGTCAGACGCTCACCCAGGCTCGAATGTCCCCTCTGCCACTGATCAGCCAGGCAAGCCCCCAACCACTCCCTCCTGAGCCTCACTCTGGTCACCTGCCACGGGTTGTCTTCCCTCCCCCAGGGCAGCCTGGAGATTAAACGGGGAAACGGCCCCCCTGGGAAACGGCGACCCCAGGTCCCGATGCGTTAGCCGACACCTCTGCTCCACTCCACTCCCCTCACGGAAGCCACCTCAAGCCTAGGGAGACGTCGCGTGACTTTGCAGTCATGCTTGGTTAGTGTTCAGTGCAGACCGTCCTACAGAAAGCCAGCCCCCATCAAAGGACAAAGGTTACCCCTCCGAAACGGCGCACAAACACCGCTCAGAGTCCTGCGTGCCGAGCAGGCTGTGAACATGTCTGTGGACGTCGCCAGCACCACTGTGAGTAAGGCAGCCTCGTTACCTGTGTCACGGAAGGAGAAACTGAGGCTCAGTGAGCCTCAGTCAGATAACTGACACTGACTCCCACACGCCCCACCCACCCAGAGTTTTACCGGTGTGTCTATTAAAGTTCTCCTTTTGTTGCTAACACCATTTCTATATAATTAAGATAGCCCACATTTGCTGAATAACAAATAACAATATTACAACCTGCTGGTTACTGTTCTTAGCTTTGCATACTTACTAACTCTTCCACTTATCTACCTAGTAAAGGACTATTAACCCATTTTACAGATGAACAAAGCAAGGCACGGAGAAGTAATGTATTCAACGTCACACAGCTAGCAAGTAGCTGGAGCAGGGATTCAAACCCAGAGCTTCTGGCCCTGGTGCCCTCCTCGTCAACCACTCACCTCTCCCCTTCCCTGCTAGACTCCGGTGTCACAGGAGTGCATGCCCCAAGGTTCGTGGAGTTAGTATGCATCTTCTTCCCAAATTATCCTTCTAATCTTTATTTTTCATTTTATTTTACTTTTTATTTTTGAGACAGTCTCGCTTTGTTACCCAGGCTAGAGTGAGTGCCGTAGTGTCAGCCTAGCTCACAGCAACCTCAAACTCCTGGGCTCAAGCAATCCTGCTGCCTCAGCCTCCCAAGTAGCTGGGACTACAGGCATGCGCCACCATGCCTGGCTAATTTTTTCCATATATATATATATATGTTAGCTGGCCAATGAATTTCTTTCTATTTATAGTAGAGACAGGGTCTTGCTCTTGCTCAGGCTGGTTTCGAACTCCTGACCTGGAGCAATCCGCCCGCCTCGGCCTCCCAGAGTGCTGGGATGACAGGTGTGAGCCACCGCGCCCGGCCAATCCTTCTAATCTTTATATAATATCCTCTTCATGTTGTTAAATGCTTTGGACCTTACAGTCCACTTTGAATTAACTTTGCCAATCCCTGCTTTCTTTCAGGTTACAGGTGGCTGGTACAGTTTTACCCAACTCTTCTTTTGTTTTTTAATTTTTCACAGACACTTCTAATACCATACAGTTTTGTCCAGCTCTTAATTTTGAACCTTTTCTTCCTATTTTGTTTTAGATGTTTCTTGCAAACAACTATAGCTGGATTTTGTTTTCTAACCCAGTCTGAGATTTCGCTGAAATAACGGAGGGATCTGGCATTATGCCACCGTACTTTACGCGAATGATTCGTGTCACTACTTTTCCTTTCCACATTTTTGATGGTTTGGGCAAATTACTGTTTATCCCCCTTCTGATTATTAATCTGTAAGTTTGGCAAAGGCTTACTTCTTATTTCTAACACTCACTACACAGAGACAGAGTAAGCGCCTGTCACCCCACCCCCCAGGACTCTCCACCCCTTTCTGCCCCAAGCCACCCCCAAAAGCTCCCACTCCTGCCACCAAACTCTGAGACTCAGAGTTCACAGCTATTCTCTCTCCTCCCATTTGGGGTCTCTACTCTGATCAACTGCCATTTACCTGGCACTTTCCTGATTGTTTCCCTCAGGCGCAACACATGGGGGGATATCTTCTGCATTCTTGCTCATCTGCAAAATACATTTCGTAGTACTGTAAGGCAACAATATTAATGCTCTGGTAGGATTCCTGGGCCAGGCCAGCAAAGGTCTGCAGTCTCCAGTCTTCTGGCTTCCAGGGCTGCAGGTGAGAAATCTGCTGCCAGTGTGTTTTTCTCCCTTGTCAGTAATTTAGGTATTCTGTCAGGAAGCCTCTGAGATTTTATCTGTGGATTTCAGGAACGTCACACCAGGAGATGCCAAGGGTGTGTCTTTTCTTTAAAGCAACCCTGCCTGGAACTCTACCAGCCCTTTCACCCTGCAGACTCCTGTCCTGTCTGATCAGGGAAAATTTCCACGATCTATTATTCATCATCTCCAGACCTGCTCCCTCTTCTCCTTCTGGAACCCCTAAGGTCCACAGGTGGATGAGAAGACGTCCTCCAAGCCTCTCTTTTCCTTTGTGACTTCTATCTGTGCTTCTGGTCTTCTGGGACACACTCTGTTTCTTCCCTTTGAGAGCCATCATGTCTTAAATTTTCTCAATTCCTAGTTCTAGAATGCTTTTTCTTTTCTTTTTCTTTTTGCTTTTTACATTTTTATTGAGGTGCATTTTTTTTTATTTCGGCATATTATGGGGGTACAGATTTTAAGGTTTCAACCTAGAACGCTTTTTCTTAGACAGTATCTGGATTTTCTTGGGTTTTGGAAACCTAGCATCTGCCAGGGTGTGCCACTTGACCTCCTCTCTCCCTCCAGCTGGGGGCCCCTTTTGGCCCTCCATGCCCCCCTGCAGCCAGGCCCAGCTGGGGTCTCCTTCCTGTGGGTCATGCCTCAGGCCCAGACCTGCCCAGGTGCCAGCAGCAGCTCTCAGCAGCCTCTGATGGGAGGTGGAGAGGAGAAAGCCCCTTGTCCCACCCGGTTTTTTTGGGGGGCCGGCGGGGAGGCTTTCTTGGGGGGTTCTGGGGGCGGGCCTTCCCCTTCCCCTTTTTTCCCACTTTTTTTCGTTGTTCCTTGGGGGGGTTTGTTCCCCTTCCCCCGGACGGCCCCCTTCCCGGGTTGGGGGGGGTTGCGGGGTTGCCCCCATGGGCCTCCCCAGAGAAGGTTAAACACTTGAACCACATTAGGCCAAACTGGGGGATGGACCATCCCCTCCCAGGAATCTGAATCAAGAGCTACCTAGCAATGCCATCAGCCCCGCCCTAAGCCCTTGGGCTGGGAGGGGCCCAAACCAGAAGGAACCAGCAGGATCCTGTGGGGGCCAGGTAGGGGGAGGGTAGTAGACCAGACCCCGGCCAGGGCTCTGCAGCCTCCGACACAGTAAGATCACAGTCCTAAGGGTGGGACCCCAGCACCCTGGAGCCTGGGGCAGGAGGAAGAGGAGGCAGTCCCCACCCTGCTGGAACTGGGGAACATGCAGTTCCTCTTCCTCTCTGGGTCTAGGTTTCTCCTCAGTCACATGAGACCAGGAGTGGGTCCCCAGGTGACTTCTATACTCACTCCGAGCGGCTCAGGCCTACCCTTACAGAGCAGTGCGGTAGGCGGGCACCAAGTGTCAGGGCTTGCAGGAGGACCAGGGCCTGGGGTGTGGCCCATGCCTAAGCCTGCACACTGGACAGCTCCTCAGGGTGCTGGTCCCAGACCTGGGGCAGGGGGCATGGACATGACTTCTCCCAGGTGGGCCTGTGAGGATGGGCAGAAGGGCCTTTCAGGCAGGGGTGCCTAGGTGAGCTGGGGTTCAGAGCAGAGACTGCCCACGTGTCTGGGGACGGGGCGGGGTCTCCAAGCAGGCCTGCCCTTAGCAGTATTCCTCCTCAAACCCCGCGGTTCCCAGGACAGGTACCCACGGACTGCGGTGCAATTAGAGGAACCCCGCCCCTCTGGGGAAAGAATCCACACTCCCCTAGAGATTGGACGGGGCCCGGCCCGCGGACAGCCCCCGACGCGCTGGAGCTGGAAAGAAACCCGCTGATCTGATGGGCAGCAAACTCTGGGCTTCTCCTCCCGCAGCTCCAGAGATCTGATTGGGCGACAGGCTGGGCCGTTCTTAAATCACATCACTTCCCTGGACACACTCCCTCCTCGACCAGTCAGGAGGAAGCAAGCTCCACAGGCTTCCACGCTCAGCGGGCCAGCCTCTCCTCCCTCCAGGGCTCCCACCGCGGCGGTGGCTGAGGCTCTTTCGCAGCCGAACCCGAGCAGACGCAGAGCAGAGAACACGGGCAGGTGCCCAGGAGAGAAGCCGCGCCGTCAGGGCGGGGCGGGCGACCCGGGCTAACCAGCCTGCCCTCGCCCCCAAGCCTGACTGACGGCCGCCCCGGCCCCGATGAATACCTGTTGAATAAATTAACCCTCACGGCCAAAGCAGAGAAAGGAAAGGCCGAACAGGGAAGCGCCGGCCAGCGCCCTCGACCGGGCCACCGGCACGGCCTGGACCGCACCCCCGGGCCTCGGGGGCACCCAGCGCCCAGCGCCCAGCGCAGAGGCTCGGCCTCGGTGAAGGTGGCCGTACTGGCCGGCCCGGCGCGTCAGGCCCACCCAGCGCCCGGGGGATGGCCGCCCCCAGCCGCTCACTGACCCGTAGGGAGGGGCCGCGAAGTCAAAGCGCGACTCGGCCGGGGTCTGGCCAAAGCGGTTCAGTGCCCACCAAGGCCAGCTCGCTAGGG